TTAAAAACAATTTATTAAACGCTCTAAGGCTGTTCTGCTCAACACTGCGGACACTGGTGCCATGTGGCTATTGGACAGTTGAAATGTGTATAGTCCAAATTGCAATGCACTCTTATAAAACATAAAATATAAAGCATAAAATACACAGAAGACTTTTAAGACTTAAAATGAAAACAAAGTAAAATATTACATTAAAATTTTAGTCAATTACATGCAGAAATGCTTATATCTCATTGTATCAATATTATCACTTTAACAGTAATATATGCACAAATTTAATATAGTATATTGATAAAACGATATCAATGTCAATAATAATATTGATTACAATGTTGTTTTGAATTAAATAAATAAAATAAAATTTAATATATTAATATATCAATAATAAATTGTTTAAATTAATTTTACGTTTTGAATGTGTCACTAGAACATTTTAAAATAAATATAAAAGGTCTTCAAAAAGATCATGGTAAGATTTGTATTGTCTCTTAATTTCATTATTTCTCAGGGTTTGAAGTACTCCTTTATGTGACTCACATTATATTTTTAAAGGATAACACTGCTCTATGGTGTTCTAATCAACATGAAAAAACAAAAATAAAGAAAGGAGAGTAAGAACACCATGATTATTACTTTATGGAAGAGAACATCCCAAACACTCTTCTCATGGCCCCCAGAACTTCTGTATTCCTCAGGCTATAGATAATGGGATTCAGCATGGGGGTGAGGATGGTGTAGAAGACTGCCAGAACTTTATCTTCTGCTGGTGAGCGGAGACTCCTGGGCCGAAGGTAGGTGCACACAAAAGGTGCATAGTAGAAGGTCACTACAGTTAAATGTGTTGAACAGGTGGTGAAGGCCTTTTTTCTTCCCTCTTTTGAGCTCATATGGTAGACAGCAAAGAGAACCCGACCATAGGAAGCAGTGATGCCAAGGAAAGGAAAAAGGAGAAAAAGTCCCGTGCTTACAAAACCCATGTACTCATAGACCCAAGTGTCCACACAGGCAAGATGCAACATGGCTGGGACGTCACAGAAGAAGTGATCAATGGCCCTGGACTGGCAGTAAGGAAGATGGAGGGCATAGACTGTGTGTGCCAAGGAGTTGATGGAGCCCAGCATCCAAGATCCCATGATCATCTTCAGACACTTCCTTGTACTCATGCGGATGGGATAGTGGAGGGGGTGGCAGATGGCCACGTAACGGTCATAGGCCATGGAGGCCAGGAGTAAGCCTTCAGAGCATGCCATTGTCAGGAAGAAGAAGCTTTGCAGGCCACATGCCAGGAACGAGATGCCTTTTTGGCCAGAGAAGAAGTTGAGCACCATCTTGGGGACAGTGGTGGAGATGTGCATGAGGTCCATGAGGGAGAGCTGGCTGAGGAGAAAGTACATGGGAGTGTGCAGACGGGCATCCAAGCGAATGAGGTGAATCATGGCTGAGTTACCCACAGAAGCAA